TAATATTGCACTGATGTTTTGCAAACCTAACCAACTCAACCGGTAGCTAAATTTCAAAGTTATTCGTTATTTGTAAACTAAAATAAAATATGGCCCACCCTGCACACCCACACAAATTGTATTAGCCGTGAGCACTTATTGCCATTTGCATAGTTATATGGATAACTAATTCCTTAGCGTGGCTCACGCGATATCCTAGTATCTGGTTGTTCCGACAGCGTTAAGATTGGGATAATTGTACAGGTGCATATATACAGATCGCAGGAATTCTGCTATTTTCATGGCTTACATTTATGCAACTAGTTTCTTAAGTATTATCATATCATTTGACTATATGTAAATACAATCTCAAGCTGTGCTTTTTACCAGTACGTGCTGAGGAAACATGCTTGGAGCCCAGGACTGTACAAAGAATATGTTTGAGTGTTTCCAAGTAAATATGATAGGTTTCGCAACCACGGTGCTCATATACATACCATATATTATAAATCATGGTTATACGAGTACTATTTACACTGGACACACCAGAACTTAAATTGTTTATGGGGGTTGGTCTCACGTTCTGAATGTGGAGAAATATATTCGACTATCTCATTGTCTGCCTTCAGTTGTTAATATCGGAGCTTTATGAAATGAATTGAAACCCTGTTGAATCAATATTCAGGAAGATCACGCTCTCGACAGAAACCCTTAAGTCATCAAATACACATATTTCAAATTTGAATCTTAGTACTACAAACCATTAAAGCTTCGTATAAAATTCAGTTTTCACAGTAACTGCAAAATATTAATCGACTTAAAAAGCCAATGAATAGTTGTGCATAATTTCGTTAATTGCCGACAAATTATTCAAAAAAAAACTAAAATTTTCTATTCAAAATTTAAAACTACTGGCTTAGCATAGAAAGCTTTAATAACGCATTGCTAGTTTTTGGACAAAAATAAACTTTCGCAGCTTACTATAACAACAAACACTATTCTGAAGTTGTTGTTAATATTGTTTAGCGTCTACCAATAGGGATGACGTGATTTGACAGCTCTTGTCGGTTATGTTTGTTTATGGATTTGTGTAAAATTTTGTCAGTGTGCTCAGTAAGGCTTAGAATTCTCCAAGATTATTAAGCAAATCCATGTTATTTCGTCAACGAAGAAAATTATCGCTATTAGTGTGAGTCAAATCTCTATTCCAACATAAGATGCGCTGCCTCATACTTTACGTGTAAAGTTGGGCGACTCGTTAATTTTGAGAAGTGGCCCTGTCAAGTGATCGCCAAAATCATGCGATTTAACGCCTCAAGATTATTTGGTCTGGGACTATGTTAAAACATAGATTCACGCCAATCAACCAGCAACGCTTGAGGAGCTCAAAGATAACGTTGAACGTACTATAGCCGAAATTTCATGAGTGGAGATGCGTTATGCAAAGGAAGCCGTGATGGCTATTTGACCGATATTTTGTCCAAATTATATATGGTGTAAAATTATCTGCATAACAAAAAAAGGCAGCACTCATTTTGACCAAGTTTAAGTGTTTTATTTCAATCTAACATCACGTCGTTCTTGTTGGCAGACCCTTTATATTTAACATGAAAATGAGTGCTGTAAAAAAAGTTTAATTGAAAATATATTAATTAATGTTTTTGTTAATAATTCAAAATATTTGCTATGAATTTCACAGCATAATAATACAAATTTTGGGCGGCATTTGCACTTTCTGTTTGCCCATAAATCTATTATTGTGCCAAAATTGAGCGGTCACCGATATGTAAACAAGTGATAATAAATTTTAATTAAAATTTAAATACGCCAGTTTGATTTATGTACTTAATGGTAAACACATACATATACATATATAAATGTTATATGATATAATAATTGTAAAGAGCTTAAGTCAACTTCAGTTAATGGCAGCAATTTCAATTGCGCTGAACAAAACCTAGTCGTGAGAAGCCTGCAATAACTGTAAAATATATGTGAATCAAGTGATCGGAGTTCTACTGGAAAACAAAATGCGTCACAGAGTTAAATGCTACTTGTGCTATTTTAAAATATCACTGATATATAATCATATTATTAATTACGTGTTTTTTGTGTCATTCTCTCAGCACAAAACACGTATTTTTAAAACTGAATAGCAACAAGTAAGTACGAGCTATAATCGGGTTTACCCGAATATTTTATACTCTTGCGACGTGCAAAGATACCTCAAAGGCACTATTTGTGCTAAGTTTTATCCGAATATATTTATTGGTGCTTGATTTGTATACTGAAAAGGGAAAGAATCATATGAAATTTAAAATTGTACTATATAGGAAGTAGGCGTGGTTGTGGTCAGATTCACAATGTGGCATAGATGTGTGATGTGCCATGATCGTCAAGATAACAATATATATACCGAATTTGGTTGAAATTGATCGAGTAGGTCCGGAGATATGTGATTCCACTTAAATAAGGGCGGTGCCAAGCCCATTGTCCAATTTTGACCCCGGTTCCTATAAAGGCCTCTTGTACCATCCTGTGTGTAAAATTAAATATTTATGGCGCATTCAGTAATTTATTACGCTTCAAGTAGTTTTTAACAATTCAATTTTCACACTGCCGATAAGAATTTTTATATGATTTGTCCCAAGCGAATTTAGTTATTTTGGCTTTAGTGGTTTAGGTGATACGTACATTTAACCTTTTAGTCCACATGTGTCGCTTACTACTGCAATTCCCTGTACCAAATTACAGTCTTATATATTAATTTAGTGCGTAGTTATGGTATTTTTTAGGTTTTCGATTAATGGCGTTTTGTGGGCGTAACAGTGGTCCGATTACGCCCATCTACGAACTTACATCTTTGACAAGGAGTTCATTATGATATCTCAATTTTTACTCAAGTTATCGCTTGTACAGAAGAACAGACAGACAGTCACTCGGATTTCAACTCGTCTCATCATATCTAACTCTGTTATTTTTAGGTGATACAAGTAACCGTTAGGTGAACTAAACTATTTTACTCTGCAGCAACATGTTGCAAGAGTACAAAAATAATAAATATTTTCGGTGTTGGCAAACAATTTTCTATCGTCAATTCTGCAACAAAGAGTGCTTAGTGTGAAAAGCCAGTAAATGAGCGTCCTGCTCTAAATACTTTTTAATTGCGCCATTTTCTAATGACCATCAGATGCACGCATACACAAGCGTATGCACACATGTGCTCTGTGTGTGTGTGTGCTCTCATTAGTTATTAGTGTTGGGCATCAATGAGCGCAATCTGGCAGCGCAAAGCTGTCGGATGATTTATTAAATCGGATTCCGGTGGCTTAACTTTAGCTGTTCGATTTTCATTGTTTAGTTGGCAATAAATTGCGGAAAAAAGTTTGCAATAATTTCCACCAAAAATACTGTTTGATGAAATTAGGTCATTTCCGAGAACATTTTGGTTTTGGTTTTCGTTTTTTTTTGTCGTTGTTGTTCGGTTGTATGCCAAAGATTTATGGCGAATTGATAATTTCGTGTTTTTAAATTAAATTTTATTTATTTGCAATAAAATAAAAGAATTTTTATCAAAACGAGCTTTCATAGAACATTTCGCGTGTGATTTTCCTTCCTTTCGCGTTTGAAATGTATAACACGTGCGAAAGTGTGTCATTTCCTTGTACAAATATGATTTATGGAATTTAATGATAAAATGTTTTTTTAAATAAAATGTTGTCAATTCAACATTTATTAAATACCAGTTTTCACAAACAAATTTTAAAGGGTGAAAAGTTCTTTCCATGTGCCGAATATAATGTATTTAAGAAAGACTTCCAGTAAGTATTCATTGTGTCATATGTCAAAATATATTTATACAGAGTTACCACCTTTCAATAAAAATAAAACTGACAAACTAAGACAAAATTAGATTTAATGATAAGTAAAATCTAGAAAAAAGTACTCAGGGGATTTGTAATATAGACAATATTTAAATAAAGTTGCCACCTAATAGAAAATTTATTAGTAAGCAAAATATTTAACTTTAAAACACAAAATATATATTATATAATTATTACTTATAGCACAATTTTAGATTAACATTTTTTGTTTGGACTTGAGTCAATAATCTTGGACACTACTGGTCTTTGAATTATTATCAGTCTAATTAGGGCTTAAGAGCACAGTAATTTGCTAGTAGCGCATATCTCTTAGGATTTCATGATAAAATTAACTCTTCATTTAATTTTGATTTGAGGCAAGCACACTTTAAAAGCGCCTTATCCAAAAACAACAACCACAGCGCAGCTAAATACACTGAGTACACTTGCTGCTCATTAGCAGCTCTAGCAATCAACATTAGAAGTAACAGTTATCAAAAAGCGTTTTCATAATACCACCACATACACATTCACCCATCTCTAAAAACGCACACATATCTAGCTGCACAAACACACAAAACACAACTATGTGGTTTTATAAATTTTTTGCACTATTTCTAATGGAAGATTTATCCAAAGATTTGCTCAAAGAGTCGAAAACCTTGCTGGCATGCTTATGAGCTTTCTTGGTAATTTGCTCTCATTAAGCCGCTTATTTGGCTGGCAAAGTGCAGTGGTTCACCGCATGCAGCGGCAGCAGCAGCGACTAATCAAAGTTGCTTGGATGTGCATTTAATGTCGCATCTTTTCATTGCACTCGCAATCTTACTCTTCAGGTTGCAAGCAAATAATTCTCTGTGCTCATGTGTAAGCGATCTTTATCGCAGCAAAGACGTTTATGTGCGTAACCTGCTCTTATTTTGAAAACTACTTTATGACGCATTAATGAATTGCTGATTTATGGAATATTTACTAATGAAGTGCTGATTAAAAGTCACGCCTTATCTACCTCTTTGTCGGATTAAGTTGAACTGCTGGGTTTAAAGGATTTAATATTCATTCAATTCGGCTATGTTTATGCATAATTTTGAACGCAATTAATAAATTAATTTGTTAAATAAGTCAAGCATTCAATTAAGTTTTTGTTTTTCTTTACAGATATCTGCACGCACTGAAATTTGTGTAGCCATTGGTGAGTAAATTAATTTTATGCTGATAAATAAATATTAAATTACAAGTATTTATAAAATGCCTTCACATTTGTGAAAAAGTGCTTCATTCTAGAAGACAGTAAAGCAGTAAAAAAGCTAATATAATTGCTTCTGAAGGTGGTTGTTAAGATGCAATTTTAATTATGATAAATTTTATACTCACATGTTATTGTTGTTGTGTTTAATAAATAATCAAAATAAACCTGAAAACAATACGTTGCCAAAGAAGTTGTCGTTAATTTTGACAAAAATGGTAACTTCTATGGCGTTGGGCTTCCCTAAACCACTCTGATTGATATTAAAAAGGTATTTTGTAGGAAGATTTACCCAGAATATCTATGCCAAATGTTTTTAAGTTCGATATTTAGTATTTGTATTAGAAAAGCGAAAGAAACTTTATTAAGCCAGATGCTATCAAGTAGTAATTAAGATAAACTTAATAGCGATATATCAGCGAACGCTACATAACGGCAAAACTATTTACTTCTACTTCAACGTTAATTAGGTGAACTGGGTGCTGGGGTGCTCCAAGTGATTCTATATTTATCGATTTTTGTATGATCCCCTATGTTGCTACTTGTATTGTCACGTTTAGTGATGTTCTTTGTAGATAATTGAAGAAGAGCGAATTTTTATATAATATTAGAATATAGATACAGTTTCTACTATAGGTGACATACAATTTGACCAAAACATTCAGTGAAGGTCGTGAATTCATCGAAAACTTGCCTTATGCGAGTCTTCCAACTACCTACGTCAATGATGATAACAGCAAAAACATTAAAGAATCAGTGCTTGAAAATTCTCGTATTGGCATCAAGCAAATAGCAGAGGATCTTAGCATCTCTCAAGACATTTTGGTTAATTTTTGGAAATGAAGCGAGAATCGTATCAAAAGACCTACATAAAGCTTTGAAAAAATGACGCCCAGTAGAGGTCGCAAAAGAGATCCTTGAAAACTAGCTAAAAGCCCTACAACATAAAAAGAATCATTACTGATGATATGAGGCAGATTTGCAAATATGAGGTCGAAACTGTCCAACAATCTAGTGAATGGAACTTCAAAAATGAGATAAAATCGAAAGAGTCAAAGTTTGATTACCGTGCTGTACTTCACCATGAATTCGTTTTAAAAGATCAAACGGTCAATATTGAATACACCATGACCATTTTGAGGCGTCTAAGTGGAGCAGCTCATCCGACCGTGGAAAAAAGATTGTGGATAGAAAATTCATGAATTTTTCGCAACGATAATAAGCCGTCACATTCTATCAAGATTATGACTGACTTTTTTAACAAACGTAAAGTTAGAAGACGAGAGTTATCGCTCAACCACTGTATTTGCCAGATTTGGCTCCCTGTGATTTTTATCTGTTTGATATTGATTTGGTAGTTAAAGCTCATTTTCATTTTGAAGACATTTTGGTTTTGAAAGAGGTGATAACTGTTTAAATAATACTTAAATTTTACAAGAGCACTCTTTGTTGAGTAAGTTGTCATGAATATATCAAAATATTTATCTCAGTGACTTATATTCTCCATATATCTCCCGCATATAATATAGAGGAAGCTTTAATGTTGTAACATTTTATATTTTCTAATAATTTCGCGTGTTGGCCCAATTTCCGGAAAAGCGAAAGTAAAAGTTTGAGCAACAGAAAACAATATGGACTCCGAATTGATTAAAATATATTTGAAAACAGTTGGAAATAAACTACTGAATTTGAGAATAAAATAAGTAGGTGAATTTTCAGAGAACACGCTTCTTGTGAAGTGTCACAATAATGAGCACAATTCTTAGCAAATAAAACTTAATAGCAAATTGCTATTTTACATAACAAAACAAAGTGCCATAACCTTAAATTCTTTCAAGTTTCATTCCATTTAATTAAATTACAATCCTTTCATTTGGCTTTCGCTTTGATTTAATCATTTGTGATCTTTAATCAGGCGCTCTGGACGTTTTTGTGATTGTGTGGAAATAATGTCTTCACTTTTACAGCCACTTGCATTAATTAATGCTTTGCAAAAGAGAGAAACGCGACAATTTAACAACGTCTTCGACTACATTTCTCACATTCCCAGGTCATTTACAACGATTTCAACTCATTTCTCATTTCATTTCGTTTGCTCTGTTTTGTTTTAATGTTCTAGAAAGTGAACAGTATTAATACTTAATACGCGCGGCGCAAAGTGACTCTATCCAATGTCCACTTTGTGTTGCATTCCTTTGGATTGGCGCTGGTCGTTGTTGCTGTTTTTGTTGACATAGCTGTTGCATTTATTGCTAGAATTGCCGCCACCGATGTTGTTATCTTATCAACAACGGTAACTTTTAAATAGTTTTTACTCTCGTGCATTGAACGGACGGTGGAGTAAGGCGCAAAACCTTCTTTGCCTGAAAGTCGAAAGCGAAAGACTGGAAAGCGCAAAGCGAAAACTGACAGCGTGCTACAAGCGTAGCGGTGTACGGTCAGAAAGGTTGGACGCTACGTCGGCGACAAGTTGAGATATTAAATGCACAACCTTGTAAGTGGATGGGTCAACGCTTAGTTTAGGAGTTTGCTGCTTCAGTTGGTTTTGTAATTTCACTTTTGCTGGTTGTGATTGCTTGTAGAACTTATTTTGTTGTTGCTTTGTTTTGTGCTTTTACAGGATCTTATCTGTTTTAGTGCGCACACAACAAGCTTTTGTTTTTAGCGATTAAGCAACTAAGGCTACTCACATACGATACAACTGGTGGTGCAACATTTTGGATGATGTTGAAGATCTTAGATCCAGTTAGATCTTAGATGATGACTCGAACAGCACGACCTCAGGTGTGGTATTTTCTAATGAAAACAAAAATAAAAAAAAAAACTGCTGCATCGAAGCTAGTACCGTTCACAGCCTCATGTTTTCTTACAAGAACTCGTTTTTGATCGGTTAGTTTGTATGGCAGCTATACGCTATAGTGGTCCGATTGGAACAATTTATTCGGATATTGTGTTGTTAGTTTGAGGAATAAACTGAATTTCGTGAAGATATCTTGCCAAATAAAAACGTTTTCCGGACAAGGACTTGATTTCCATCGGTCAGTATGCCAATGTATGGCAGTTATTTGATACAAAAGTTCGATAACGGCAATTCGGACAAATGAACGGCTTCTTGGGGTGAAAAGGACGTGCTCAAAATTTCAGATGTATAACTCAAAAACGACGTGTCCTTCTGTTTGTTACAAACTTCGTGGCCGCTATCACCACTACTTTGTAGCACAAACGTTTTTGTTTAAACAAAAAATGATAATGATTCACAAAATTTTCGGCAACAGAGTTCTCACTGGGTGTCTTTAATTTCGTGCTCACCTACACAGTGGTCTAAAAAGTTAGTATTTTTTATTCATTTGCAAATCCTCATGAGTTTCATTTTCAAGCGTACGACGAAAACAAGTCATACGCTTTCTCACTCTAACACTAAACTCGACATTAGCCTTTTGCACTAATTCCCTCATTTGCTTTCATCAAAGTCGTCATTTTTTTATTTTAACTCGTTACTTGCGCTTTCGTACTTTTCTTACATTATTTCACTTTTAATTTTAATTTCTATTTTTTTCTGCTTGTCAACTTGTCTACTTATCCCGGGTAATAGAAGTCATCATTTCAGTCGCTGTATAATAATGCTCATTATATCGCAGTCAAACGAATGCTTTTAGAAGTTCTAATAATACGAGTGAAAGCTACACGGCAAAGCAAGCAGAATATATTTTTGTCTGAAAATTCCATATAGTTTAATGTTCACATGGAGAACTTATAAAATGTGGTAACTATATAGTATTGTTTGTGATGTAATAACTGTGCCAGTAGCCACCGAATCTTTCATGGAGACCCTCTGCTTTCTGAGATAGCCTTCAGATTAGTCTTTGGATATAACATAATATTTGTATTATAGCCAGGTCTGGACAGATGCTGTCGATTACTGTTATTATTTGGAGCACATAGTTTCTTTCTCCATTGGCTCAAATGATTTAAAAATAACCACAGAGTGAAAAATCGATTGATCGAAATTATTACTAGTTAATGAAAGCTCTCTAAAAGCTTTTCTCATTCATACGGAGTTTTTCTCAACACAGAGTGTCTACTTCTCAATTAAGAAAGCTTTTTATAAATTTTCCATGTTCTAATAAAAATTTCAAAATCTATTTTAGCAGTGTTTGCCATTATGACTATCTTTTCCAGACATATTCAAGTATAAGTATGTATTTAAGCAGTGATTGCCTTGACCATTGAACCATAGCTAGACTTTTTACACTTTTTCTCGATAAAATGCAACTGCAATGGCGTCCAACTTATGTATTTGCGTTTAACTGTACTTCTTTCTTGGCGAAGATGACTAGCCGTTATGGCGTATGCTTTTTGCCGTCATTTGCTACTCGGTTCTTGTGCTAGACAATTAGTTCTTAATTTACGATTTGCATTGCAGTCTGATGTCTAACCGGGCAGCAGCAAACAGCGTCAGGTGTATACGGTATAAATACAATATGTTTCTAAATATATATACATAACCACATTTAGAGGCGCATTTGCAGGCAAGGTAGCGCGCCACCGCGTAAAAGGCGTAAAAAGCAAAACTGCCTTTCATAAAAAGAACCTGACAGCTAGACAAACGAATTCGAAAAGTTTTGCCATTCAGCAAATGAAAAACACAGCTAGAAAAAGTACGAAAAAAATACTAAAAGTCAATGGCAAACTTTCTTCTATTACTTTTACTTGTTTATCTATTTGCTTTTAAGTGGTTTCGCTTTTCTAGTGATTTAAATTTTTTTTCTGGTGGTTAGGATGTTTTACCTGGTGTGTTCTCATTAAACTTTTGAAATGGTGCATTCTTTTGAATTTTGTTGTATTTATTTAGTTGAGGGAAAAATATAGTTTTTTAAAAATTACTTAAAGCCCTAAAAGAATAACGGTTCTTAGAGATTAATTATGGCATGTATTTTCGCTATGTG